AAAAAGAAACTAACCAGAAATGCTGTTTTCTGAAGACTACACAGAACAACTGAGCTGTGATTCCTTTTGACAGTCATCTTCCCAGAAATGCATTAGTAAAATGAGTTTAGGGTTAGAATGGAGAGCTTTCTCTTTCATTTAAGGTTTGCGGACCTTTGCATCCACGAACAAAAAAACTCTTACTTTCCTTTCTCTAACATATCTGCATTCTCCTCTCCAGTCTTGTTCCTGGGGCTCAATACCACCAAGTGAAAATGCCATATAGACAGGCAAAATAGGATACCGCACACAGATGTTTAATAGTTCAACGACACTGTTTGAACAGCAGATAAAAAGGAATGTGAATTATTTCATAATTATAAATCATAATTTAAAAAAAATGAACAAATACAAATCATTTCATAGCAATAAAAGCTATTCCTAATATACAATTACACTGGAAATTCAAAGTCAATTCTTAACACAAATTCCAGCTTCAGCAGAATGTCAATGCTACTCAAAGGTAGTGGGAATAGAGGAAAAAGAGCTAAAAAATTTAAAGAAAAGACAAGAGGCAAATGGAAATCTGATAATGTGCTGAATTCCATGAGCTCTGCTATGACACTTGCACCTGATCATCAGTTTTATGACTATGTTTCCTAGTGCCAAGAAAAGAAGCCAACACTGGCTCCTCCACTGAAGCAGCCACAGCCATGTTACCATTCTCCAAATGAAAATAACAAGGATTTTTATAGCAATGTCTGACCACTATTAGTTCTTTAACAATGGAAAATTTTTAGTTTCACTATTCTGTTGTCATAAACAAGAATAAAAGAGCATGTTTGCCTCAAAATGATTCTGACCTTTTCTCAGCAGTACAACACTCATAAGTAATGCCATAGAAAACCTAGGAAATCTAGAGCTGAAAAAGCCAAGAATAAAGTCAAGTCAGCTAAGGAAATAATGGGTATACAATTCACACTAGTTGGTGGGTAGGAAGAAATCAAGGTTAAGAAATTATGTAAAATAAAATCTCTAAGACAGCACTTTTTTTCAGGAAAAAAAGAGCATCTGGTGAAGAAATCAAGAAATTGCAATGAGTCCTTCTGCCAAAACAAACAATGACAATATCATTCAGCTGATCTAGCTGGCTCTTAATGAACTGTTTCAACAAACCTGGAACTGCCCACCTTCAACTAAAATACCTCTACACCAGAAATTTTGGATAGTCATTTCAGCACTGACAGAAATCACAGGGAGAAACATTGGCCACACACACACACAAATAAAAAATAAAAATAAAAAAAATCACAGAAGAAAAATGTTATTTGACGTTATTCAACAAGAAACACAGAAGACAACAAGAAACACAAAAACCTTTGAGAGAGCCCAAAGATCTAATCTACAAGTATTGTCATATGCAGACCCTATAGGATACTCTCCAATAATCATAAACTTTTTCTGAGGAAGCATGCAAACTCAGATCAAGGACAGTTTAAATAACCTCAAACTTAGTAAAAATTCAGGCCAGAATTTATGCAAAAGGATGAAACTGCAGATGGTCATGGATTTTTAAGAAAAGAAGGGTGATGAAGGCTATGTTTTTTATAGCTAGATGACTGTTTAGAGTACACACTGTAATGATCCCTTCTCATACAAATCACTTCAAACCATAATTCTTAAATCCTAGGTAACATTCAACTGGCTCAAGAATTAATACAACATTCACTCAGGAAGTAAGTAAATGACCCATAATTACTGAATGAATTCCATATGGTGTTAAGAATAATTATGACTTCCTTATGTTATAACCATGAAACTGAGTAGAATTCAGAGAATAAAATCAGGAATATGCTCCTAAGTGCTTTTTGATCCACCGAACATCATTCTTAATGTAGTTTTTATTTGTAGGTTAGATTTTTTTTTAAAGATTTTATTTATTTATTCATGAGAATACACAGAAAGGAGAGAGGGAAGCAGAGACACAGGCAGAGGGAGAAGCAGGCTCCATGCAGGGAGCCTGATGTGGGACTCGATCCCGGGACTCCAGGATCACACCCTGGGCTGCACGCAGTGGTAAACCGCTGAGCCATCGGGGCTGGCCCTGTAGGTTAGATTTTAAAACGTTTTTATTATATAAAATCCTGTTAATGTATTTCTAGCATTTTTAAGGCAGATGTGTGAAGAGATCCGCTAGAAGGATAAGCTGGGAACCATTTCTATTCAACAAACATATTTCACCCCAGAATGTTGTTTTATAATCTTAAATCACTGTGGTTTAAACTCAGTAAGTCTTTCTGTGATAAATCAGTGAATTGATTCTCTAATGTTTTATATCAGTTTCTACTTATTAGATATGGACAGGTCAGGTTTAGCATCAATGAAAACCAGGTCTAAAAAGATGATCTTGTGAAAAGCTAAGACAGCCAGCTTGCGCACTTAGGCACCCAAGCCTGGAGTCCTTTGCTTGAATGAGATCAATATATTTGAATTAATCAAACTGGCCACATGAGGTCTCTGTTATTCCACAGAATACAAAAACATTTTAGATGTAGTTTTCAAATCAGGTAATTTCTCATGAAGTACAAGCGATGAAAATAATGTTGCAGATCTAGTTTACTATGTTGGAATAATATATTCCACTGGGAAAGAGAGAAATGGGAATCAAGTTGAAGCTACAGATAATGAAATGGAGTAAACTGTATCCTGCTAGCGAATGCATCTAAAATATCAGCCAATTGTTTCAACTGGGACTCACTAAACTAGAATGAAAGCATTTCAAGGAGTGAAGCACAGATAATTTGGCATACCTAAACACCGTATCTAAATACCAAATTAGAGGATTTAAATTATAATATACTGCTGGAATTCTTGGAAATATATGTAGCTCCTCACTAAATATATAAACAAGTTTCAAATCAGGTCTGTTGTGAAATGTGAGCGATGTGTTGACCTTGGTCCTGGATATTATGAAGCCCTACATTCTCTTGCAATCGTTGTCAGCAAATGCTCCTTGAAAGCCCCATGGTACAAACTCTACCTACGCAACAACCTCCTCAACAGAATATCTCACTTGGGCAACACTGAATGGCTCACTATGATTCAGCTCCATTTGAATATGTTAGTGAAAAAAAGTTAATAAAAAGGTAAAAAAAGTTCCACCTAAATAAAGTGACAAAAGATAAAATTAAAATGAACTTATGTTAAAAAGCCATTAGTAGAGAGTCCAGGAAAAAAACAAAATCACAGAAGTCAAGAACTGAGTTTCTTCCAAATCTATGGAACCCATGAAAAAAAAGTGACAAAAGAAAGTGCTGTAGAGACAAATGGTGGAGGTAGCCGAATTTCATTTGGTTAGTGTGTTCAAAGTGCCAGAACTCATGGCAAGCAAAACTTGAGCTTTTAGCAAGTTCTTTACTATCAACTCTCTGATTTCTATGTTTCCATAAAACAAGATTCAATAGGCTACAATATTTGGGATAATATTTTATGCTCTTGACTGTCTGGGGGACTGTCATTTTATGAAGCTGTACAAGAATGTAAGTAGATTCTATTTGTTCACCTATAAAGTCACTTGATTATTCTGTAGCTGCACAATTTGGTACTTAGTAAATTACATTCTATACCTCTCACCAAGTAAGATACAGATCTAATTGTGTAATAAATCACTATGGATAGCTTTGGGATACTTGGAAAGCTAAGGAGCCCAAGATTCAAATCTAGAATTAGGAAAAACAGATTTCTGTCCATTCCCAAAAGCAGTGAAACCAAGCAATGAAGACAGTGAAGAGGGGTCTCAGTCTCATTCCTACACATGAGACTTTTCAAAAGTGCAAGTCAAAGTCTTCTCTTTCTTTGGTGAGGCCTAATCTTGCTACTCAGGGACATTCCACAAAGTCTTTTGCTTTTCAGAGCTACTGACTGATGGACACTTATTGTACTGTCTGCTTTAAGCATGGTGGGCATCAGTTGCATACAGCACATTTTGAGCAAAGGCAAGCACTGGCCAGGTGTGGGCTTCCTACACTGCACTCCACAGCACCCCATGGAATGATACATACATACCTCTATCTCCCACAAAAAAAAAAATGGAACAGTGGGAAAGCCCATCTGCCTTTTTTTTTTAATGAAAAAAATATCTGCACCATTATTTTCTTTTTCTCCACTTAAAAGCCTATGTGTGCTTCACGAAATGCCTGTCAGCTGTATTCCACTGGACAACTACACACCAGTATTCTTTAAGGTATCAGTATACAGAAGCAGATGTGGGGAGCCAACGTATATGGAAATAAACAAAAGCATAGCTCTGAAAACCCACTTTCCCAAGTGGAAATGCTACAAAGAGCACAAAGGGGGAATGGAATCAGCTCTACCAGAGGAAAGAGTCATTTTCTTCCAAAATTTTCTACAAAGACATCAATGAACATATTAATCACTACTAGAATCTTCTTGCTGGTAATTTTTATATTGGCTCTTAAAGGTTCTGAACTATAATCTCCTCAGTTTAAGGTTTCTGTGACTCAAAGCTATTGTAATATCCACTATAAAATATGTCATTATAGAAATACTATATACCAATCTCAGATAAGTACCTGGATCAATCATGGGTTAGTTTTTAGTTCTATGACAAGGAGCATAAATCTGAGCCCTCTGTTCCTCCTACTGTTTAATGCAATACAAGACTCTAATCGACAAAGACACATATTTCACTTTAACATACATCATTTGCCCTACAGAACTATATACTTTTAAGAATGAAGGAAAGAGGTAAACAAGTGACACCACTTACAAGCTGTTGTGTGATGCAAGGTAAAGTGAAATGGGGAAGGAGGAGTAAGAAGAGAGGCCAAACCAGCTAACAATAAAACCCCATTCTTCCAGCACTGGGTCTGTCAACACGCTTACTTGCCCCAATTTTATAAAAATGAAATAAAAATCTGAAAAGGGTAAACTGCCTGATTATTTTGTCTTTTGTACTTATTCGTTCTTAAAAGTTAAAGTAAGAAAAAAATATATATATATTTAAATGGAAAGTATATCAATTTCACTTTATTAACCTAATTCAGGAAAGGGATGAGGAGAAAGGGGCTGAGGTTGGGTATGAAGGAAGAGGGTTAAAACTTGTGACAGTAAAGATCCCTTCAAAATTCTGGTGCAGTCCTCAATCACTGCAGCCTAACTGACAGTCAACAGAGTTGAACTCCAAAATACTGAAAGCAGACTCCTGTTCTCCATTTCTGTCCAGTGATCTTCGGTTACAGTGTGATGAGGTCTACCAGGTTGCCTTTAGGAGGAGTCATGCTGTCAGGAAAGAAATTTACTAAGGTGTCAAAGAGCTGAGTTCTTTGAGCGTAGGTGTGATCCACATCGGAAAAGCCTGGTAAAGGAGAGATACAAAGAAACTCATCGATTGTGTCTAAAACATGTAACAGAGAAACTAGTTGAGAAAAGCACCATTGTATAATGGAAAAATCAAAACCAAATTTGATTTCAAAACTAGACAGAGGTCCTGAACCCAGTTCTATTAACCTGGCAGTGGTGTGATCTTAGGTGAGTTAATCAGCCGTTCTGCAACTGTTTCTACAGCTGTAAATTTGTGTTAATCCTGCTTACTTGATGGTGTTACTGTGCATATTAAATACAATTACACTAGAAGCACCTGTTCTAATGACTGGCTTTAGAACAGTAATTAGACTGTTTTGTAACTAATTTAGTAACTTTAGTAACTAATACTGATTTCTCTTCTTTCCCTTATAAGCATTCTCTTCTAGTCCACTGAGGCAGTTTCACTCCTCTTTTCTGCCTTTATAATGCTTTTGACCCACTAAAATTTTTTTGATAATAAAAATACAATAAAATCAGAGGTGCCTGGGTGGCTCAGTCAGTGAAGCATCCAACTCTTAGTTTTGGCTCAGGTCATGATCTCAGGGTCCTTCCATTGAGCCCTGCATTGAGCTCACTGCGCAGTGTAGAGTCTGCTTCTCCCTCTCTCTCTGCCCTTCTCCCCGTTCTCTCTCATAAATAAATAAAATCTTTAAAAAAAAAAAACAAAAAAAATCAAAATGAAAAATATACTAAAATCACTTTCTTTAGCAAGTGGTTGAAAATCATTAAGGTCCTGAGAGTGGAAGTAGTCTCAGAGAACTGAGTGAAAACTCAGCTGAGGGAAATACATGTACAATAACATAGAAAAGAGTACCTGGCACATAGCAAATGCCATACATTTGTGGTACTATGCACTGGGCTCTATGCCAGGCACATGCCACGTGAAAAATTGAGCAATGAACTACTTTTATCCAGATAAACATTAGAAAGTGGATGAAATTCTTAAAAGGTGGGGACCATGGAACTAAAGCATTTTTCCCCCCTTTAACCTCTAGAAAACATGTAATTTTCAAGTTCATTCCAGCCAAAGGAATATTCAGTGAGATGCTTCCTTCCTTTAGTTAGCTGGTGTATTGCTTTAAGCTGCTTCAAATTTCTTATGTACATATGAAGTAGGAAAATAAAGTAGTTTTTATTATTTCTCCATTCGTGAAATGGCTGAGATATAAGAGCCCTACTGAGTACCATAAGACCTAAAAATAGTGCCAGAGTTATATATGCCATGATACTCAGTGGAAAACTATTTCAAATTGGATCAATTTTCATTCAACCTACAATATAGTTTTAGGTACACTCTGTTTTTTACTCTTGTAAAGAACATGAACAGAACAGAACAATGCCAAGGATACCAGTTTCCTGGAAGGAAAATAAACAATGCCTCAAGAAAGGTACATTCCTTTTTATTAAAAAAATTTTCTTACTCTTATTTTGAGGACAGATGGTTACTTCTTTGGAGCTTAAGATTTAGCAAAGAAATAGCATGGAAATGAATGGAAGGAAATACTCTAAAATGTAAACAAAGATATCTCTGAATGATGAGATTATTTTCTCTATTTTATGCTTTTCACAGTTTTCTAAAATTTTGAAAAATTTCAAACTCCTAGAAAAGTTTCAAGAATAGTACACCAAACAGTTATATACCCTTATCTAGATTACTTGTTAACATTTTGTCACATGTGTTCTCATTCTCTATTTGTTTGTATCCCACACATACTTTCTTTGTATAACTATTTGGGAGTAAATCGTAGACATTTTCATCTCTAAATACTTGGGTTCCAAAGATTCAGATGCAATGAAACGCCGGGACACCTGCACCCCGATGTTTCTAGCAGCCATGTCCACAATAGCCAAACTGTGGAAGGAGCCTCGGTGCCCATCGAAAGATGAATGGATAAAGGAGATGTGGTTTATGTATACAATGGAATATTACTCAGCCATTAGAAACGACAAATACCCACCATTTGCTTCAACGTGGATGGAACTGGAGGGTATTATGCTGAGTGAAGTAAGTCAATCGGAGAAGGACAAACAGTGTATGTTCTCATTCATTTGGGGAATATGAATAATAGTGGAAGGGAATATAAGGGAAGGGAGAAGAAATGTGTGGGAAATATCAGAAAGGGAGACGGAACATAAAAACTTCTAACTCTGGGAAATGAACTGGGGGTGGTGGAGGGGGAGGAGGGCGGGGGGTGGGGGTGAATGGGTGACGGGCACTGAGGGGGACACTTGACGGGATGAGCACTGGGTGTTATTCTGTATGTTGGTAAATTGAACACCAATAAAAATTAATTTATTAAAAAAAATAAATACTTGGGTTCATTTCACCTAAGGACATCACTTAAATAACCACTATATAATAAACATATATACATATTTATATATTAAAACAATGTTTTTGTCCTAATAATCTTTTTATAGTCATTTTCCCTACTCATCTAAAATCTAAAACTCAATCCAGTATCAAACACTGTGTTCAGTTTTCTTTGGCCTGGAATAGTTCCTCAGCCTGTTTTTTTATGACACTGATATCCTTGACAAGTATGGAGCAGATACATAGTTGCAGAATGTGCTGAATTAGGGTGGTCTGACTGCTTCCTTGTGCTCGGATTGAATTTATGCAGTTCTGGCAAGAATACTACATTAAGAGTATTAATGTAGTCCTTCTCAGTGTATCATGTCAGGAGGCACAGGCTATCAGTTTGTCCCAGTGTTAACTTTGATCACCTGATTAAGCTGGAATAGCCAGATTTCTCCAGTGTGAAGGTATTATTTTCTACAACTGCAATTAGTAATATATATATATATATTTTTTTAAAGTAAAATAATTTTTGAAAAGTTTTAAAGTAGGCTCCTCACCCAACATGTGGCTTTAACTCACAACCCTGAGATCAGGACCTGTGATCAAGAGTCAGATGCTCCATGGACTGAGTCACTCAGGCGCGCTCAGCAATTAGTAAAATATTGGTGAGGAGCATTTGAGACTATGTGAATATCCTGCTCCCCAAAAAGGCTTGCACTCAATATTAGCCCTCACTCATTAATGATTCTTGCTAAAACAATTACATCTCGGGATCCCTGGGTGGCGCAGCGGTTTAGCGCCTGCCTTTGGCCCAGGGCGCGATCCTGGAGATCCAGGATCGAATCCCACGTCGGGCTCCCGGTGCATGGAGCCTGCTTCTCCAACTGCCTGTGTCTCTGCCTCTCTCTCTCTCTCTCTGTGACCATCGTAAATAAATAAAAATTTAAAAAAAACAAAAAAACAAAAAACAATTACATCTCAATAAAACCACTGATGGTGTTTTCCTAACTCTACAATTCCTTCTGCATTTGTTGACTGATATTAATTATAAAGAGCTTTTCTTTTTCCTCTATTTTATTTGTTTACATGACTATGTACTCATGGATCCTTTTCTTGTTCAATATATTGTATTTATTAGCCATTATTCATTTTAGTACTTATTGTCGCAGTTTTGGCCAGTGAGTGCTCTTTTGAGCTGGTTTCTGTCTTTAAATGTTCCCATTGATTTTTGAGCATTTCCTTATTTCTTGGCATAGCAGATATCCAAACTCATCTTTACACAGCTCTAGAATAGCTAGAGATTTTTTTGCTGAATCAGCTAGAATTTTTCCAAAGAGCCCTAATTCCTTTCAGTGGTGAATGATATTTAGAAATCAAGATCAATTGTGTTAACTGCCAAGGGTGGTGTTGTTTCTAGGCCTCTACAGGTATGTACAATACATATTATATACACAGGTTTTTATTTATTTTTATTATTTTTTTAAAGATTTTATTTATTTATTCATGAGAGACAGAGACAGGCAGAGAGACAAGCAGGCTCCATGCAGGATGCCCGATGTGGGACTCGATCCCGGGACTCCAGGATCACGTCTTGGGCCGAAGGCAGGCACCAAACCGCTGAGCCACCCAGGGATCCCTATACGCAGCTTTTTACTTTTTATTTTTTTTATTTTTTAAAGATTTATTTTTATTTATTTACGATAGACACAGAGAGAGAGGCAGAGAACAGGGAGAGGGAGAAGCAGGCTCCATGCAGGGAGCCCGACGCGGGACTCGATCCCGGGACTCCAGGATCGCGCCCTGGGCCAAAGGCAGGCGCCAAACCACTGAGCCACCCAGGGATCCCTACACAGCTTTTTAAAAGCAAAGTCATGAGTTCATGATTTTGTTGATGATTCCCATTTTTAAAGAACTCTACACAGGAGGGCAGCCCCGGTGGTGCAGCGGTTTAGCGCTGCCTGCAGCCCAGGGTGTGATCCTGGAGACCTGGGATCGGGTCCCACGTCGGGCTCCCTGCATGATGCCTGCTTCTCCCTCTGCCTGTGTCTCTGCCTCTCTCTCTAGCTGTGTCTCTATGAATAAATAAATAAAATCTTAAAAAAAAATATACTCTACAGGATTCTTCCTCTCCTTATCCCATTCCCTATTCACAGTATCTCCTTTCTCCCAGTAAGGAAACTAACTCCCTACAGCATCATCATATTTACTTATTTGTTCAATGTAAAATACATACAAAATATGTTCCAGGATTACTATACTCATACCACTACTAGCAAAAAGTCAAGATTTCTTTGCTTTTATTGTCTTTAGAATATATCTCACTAAGAGTGTAGTCTAAGCATTGTAACATTATACTGAAAAGCTTTCTCTTTTCTTCCTCCTATTGTGTGGTAATATTACCCAATGGCTTGTAGTCAACTTTAGGATTTTTCCCCTTTTTGTTTTATTTACTTTCATTCTTATAAAAAAACTAATGAAGCAGTTATCACAAATTCCCCTTTCAGATGAGACAACCTAAGAGATACTCAGTAATTTAGTAAGATCTCACAGTTGGTGAGGGAAGAGAATGGAATTTGAATCTGTGTCTGACTCCAAAATGCATTTATTTATTTTTATTAACTAAAATTAACTGAGGGCTTAAATTGTACACAGTGTGCTAAATCCATTTAACCCTTAGAAGAACATGTTGA